CGGGACACAAACGCTTGTAACAAGGGTGTACCTGGTACCTGCAGCCATAGTATCTCTACCAAGAAGGAGGGTTTCCAGAGGTTTAGGGTCTGCTTTGGTGGAGGCCAGCTGGCTACTGCTGGCCGGTAAACATAGTTCAGGAAAATGAGTGCAAAGAAACATGACCTTTAAAATAGAGCATCAAAGGGGTCTAGGGACACTCAGTTGAAAATCTCCAACTGTCATTTAGCGCTATGGGTCTCAGATGTGGCCTGGTAAGCTGTTAAAGCTCAGATCAAAATTCAGATCCTGGTGAGAACAGAGTAGGTGGAACAGAAACGCATTGCATTGCTGCTTTACAACGAACTGTTTTCATAGAGGGTGTGAAGGGGTGGCATCTTGTTGGTTTAGGGATGCTTTTTTCACTCTTGCAGTAAAATCTAAACTGATGGCCCTGGGAAAACAAAGGAACTACTTAGACCTGTGTGAATGACCCACTATCGCATAGCGCTCTGTCCTGAGGATCGACCTCGAGGTAAATTCTCCCACTGAGCACAAAGTCTGAGGCTAAGGAGAGATTGCTGTGGGTCTAAAGAATTTGACTGAGAAATGATGGTGGGGCAGTGACCCTTAGGATATGCTTATCTGGTGCCCCAGGAAATCTGGCCAGTCTGGGTCTTTGGCCCTTGTACAGACCCACCTTCCTGACATTTCAAACTCCAACTTGTCCTTGGCCCCCAAGCGGCACTTTACTGGACTGTCTGTTTCCCCATTTTTAGAGGCCATCAGGCTCCTTGCCCCTGTGTGTGTAAAATAAACAGAATATACCACCAGCCTTCACTTTAGGCATAAGGCTTTGCGGTCTCGCTGACCTCCCTGGCGCCTCAATTTCATCCTCTGCTCCTATGAAGAGAAATAGTCTCAGGCCATCCTTAAAAGGGCATGTTTTATCATCTCCCTCTTGAATTGATATAATTGAGGCCCGAATTCAAATACAGAATGCCAGAGCATGGGGCACAAGTCCCAGGGTGGTGCCGTGTAAGATAATTCTGGCGCCATAACTATTGCAAAATGAAATGCAGGGGTGGATGGGGGATTGATATTATTTTGATGAGGATTCCAACTGGGGAGCGCCCTGGAAAATGTTCCCGCTCTCCTGGGCGTTCCTCTGGCGAAGAGAATTGGGGAGCTAGGCCCGCAAGAGTGTAGTTAGTAGAAGCCGGACTATCATTTGCCCCATGTTTACACCTCTGCCTTTGTGACAAATCGATTTCCCCGAGCCGCTGTTTCACATTTGCATCCCGCCGCGCCCGGGTCCCAGCTGCGCCCAGTGCACTCTTAGCTGCTGTTGAATTGAGTGCGCGCGCGCGCGCGCGCGTGTCTAATTGACTTTCCGTCTACCTTTTTATGACTACATGTGTTTCCAACAAAAGGTCTTATTAGGACAATCTGGTTTCACTAATTTAGAGGTTGGGAACGTGGAAGGCAGGTTTTTTTAAAGGGTTTGCAGAAGTTGAAATTAAGAAGTTGACAGCGGGACGCACTGTCCTCCCAAGAGTAGGGTACTGTTTGTTTTTACTACCCACCCTTTCCTTCCTCCTCTCCCTCCCTAGTTAACCCTGCTTTGCCATCACCCCCATTCATACACCACCATATTATATTCCTAACATTGTTAAAGAATCGAAAAAGTTTGAAAAAAAAATTCACTAGGTTGGGAGGATCAAAAAGCAAGGAAAACAATACTTTTACCAAAAGGAAAATGGAATGTATGCCAGCTGAGGGTGAGGGAACTGGACCCTCGCTGATGGATATAGGAGAGGTCAGCGAGAAGTCCTTTCTTACAGTAACTGATTCCTCTTCTCTACAGTCTAGGTTGAAATTCAAATGTTTAGAAAATTAATAATCTAATATTGAAGGCATAGGTAGAACATAATGGCTAATTTCTTCTGGGCAGAAAATTTATAAAGGATGGGTTTCTATTGCCTGAAAAGGTCAAAGACACCCGTTCATTGTTTCCCATCTCCTTGAAGGATATTATCTTTTCCCACTCTGAGCACCTGACTCCCAGTGAATTTCTTCATCCTTTGTGACCCTTGGTATAACCTCTCGGTCCCTTTAGCCAGAATCTCTGTTATAGCTCTTTTGCCCCAGACTTCCCTCCTCCCTTACCTATACCCTAGGTCTTACTGTCCACTACAAGCTGGCAACTCAATGCTACCCTACAGGTCTAAATTTCTAAGTAGCTCACAACTTCCTCTTCGATTTCAATCAGAGCCTAAGAACTAAGGACGAGGGTCCTCTGGGACCCTTGACTTATCAGACATGGAATTCTGTTCTCCTACCTAATGGAGAAGAAGGAGGTTGAGAAAACACTGCTTCTAACAGCAAGAATTTGTTAGCGTCTCCTTGCAGGCCATTTCTCTGCAATGCCAAGCCCACCCTGGGTGTTGCTTTCTTCACTTACTCCTCATCGCCTCACTCTGCATCCAGGGGACTATTGACTGTCCTACTTGATGCATCCTCTCCCTGACTAGCCTTCAGCTTCCTTTCTGAGCCCTCTCGCCATAGCCTCTCTACTCATAACAAGTATAAAGGTTGAGTTTCATGCAAGCAAAGCCACAGGGTCTTGTTCCTTTCCCTAAGGACAAAAGGTCCCCAACTCTGTTGAAAACCTTAAGCTTGACCTTGAGCTCCCCAGAGGATTCTCTATGCATGATGTGACCTTGGTGGCTCTAGGCTTGGGTCTTAGAAAAAGCCATTCCCTAGTCTCAAGCAGCCTCCCAGCCACACCACAGGCCCTCCAAATCTGCTCCAGGGTAGCTTCCCTAGCCTAGCTTCTCTGTATACCCATTATACAATAGTAACAAATCTAGGCTTCCATTCGCCTATGGTTCCCTTAGAAAAAATCTAAGCAACCAGTTCTTTCTGTTATCCTCCAACCGTTCAGTATCTGATGTTCCCCAGCACCTACCTGGGCCCTGGCTTACTGAGGCCTAAATTTGGTTCTGCTTTCTCCTGTTCCAGCCTTCTCTTGCAGCAAAGCAATGCTAGCTCCCTTCTCCTGCCTACCCTGCTCTTCTACACAACAGTTTACGTAAGCCTTGCCTTCTGTTTGGGGTCTGAGGGAGGGGAGTCCAACCTTCAGTTCTTCAAGCAGCGATAAATGCTGTGAGCTTGATCCTTAATAAGCTGTGGTGAAACTGTAATGTCAAAATTGCAGAATAGGTGAAGTTGGGTTCAAAATGCTACTTGTAGTTTTTCTTTTTCATTTTCCTTGTGAAAAGTCTTTAAATAATCATAGTACTTTGTAGTGCATTTGTTAGTGCTAAAGTACCTACAGACATTTCATCTATGGATGCTGGTATGTACAGCAAAATCAGCCTCCCCAAACACCAAAACCCTACCTAAAATGACTCTGCTTCTGCACCTAACCTTTATCCAGGGTTTGGGACACTGACTTTCCATTGTCTATACTTGGATTAGTTTCTCTAGGGAATGGCCAGAACAAATCTCTTCAGCCAGCTCTGTGGCTCTCAGTGGACCCAGTTCACATAGACTTGATTGCCCGAGATTCTTGCTATCTAAAATCACTTAGATGCTACCAGGAGTGAACCAGGGCAGCAGAACCAGGGCTTAGGGTTCTATAGCCAGCTTTAGTGAGCCTGGTTCCCACCACTGTGCCCAGGCCTGATTTCCAGCTGTTTCTGATGCCAGTTTGCTTTCACTGTAATAATCTTAAAAATTATTTGGATGCCTGAGATGGGGAGAAAAATCATAGAATACTGGAGGGTCCTTATAGTTTCCAAATTTCATGAAAGTGCAACCAGTGCACAATGATATGGAAAGAAGTCATTTTAGAACTTCCTACTGGATTCAGCCTCTTGCAGCTTCCTGGAGAAAAGGGAATATCTGTATATATCTGACTAGACTTCACCTGGAATGGATGAGCCTGGTGACATGTCTGCTGCATACTAGGAGGCCATGGCATACACATGCAGTCATTTGTAAAGGCAGCAGTGATAATTCGAGTTGAGCTTTTCATGGGGAGGTGGGCAATAGTTGGTGAAGGTGGGTAAGTTTAGGTAAGGTAGCTTGTATGTGGACTCTTCTGGAGGTCTAGAGACCAAATATGCGGCGCAGGTCTAAGAATAATTCGAGTTGAGCTTTTCATGGGGAGGTGGGCAATAGTTGGTGAAGGTGCAAATATGCGGCGCAGGTCTAAGGCTTGGGCCTAGAAGCCTGGGGTCCTCCGGTCTGTATTTCTAGTGTGGGATCTAGCAGGCAGGATTTTACTCTTAGAGGATATTCTCCTAGCTTTAACAGTTTTTGCCCTAGATAGATTCTTATTCTGGTCTCAAACCGGTTTACAGCTGAAAGTGACAGCAGGGGGCTGAGAGCAAGCCTGGGAGCCTTAGGCTGGCTTTCTGGCGCTGCTCCTTGCCCCCCAAGCCTGGATTGCCCGCACTGGGTGAGCATCCTGAGCAGCGCCTGCCTGCTCTCTGAAAGCAATGCTTTCCCTTCAGCTCTGTCAAAAGTACTCAGAAGCGCTCCCAACCCCACCCGGAATCTTTCACCGCTGATTTCCTAAGCAGAGCGGGTGGTGCAGTGTGCGCTCCGGCCAGACCGTTCTCCCGCCTGCCGGCAAGGGCGCTCCGCCGGCAGGGTGTTCTAGCCTGGCACTCATGGGAAGTCGGGATGCAGCCGAGACAGGACAGCTGGGGACAGTCGGCGGCCGCAGGGTCCCTGCCCGGGATCGCCGGGCCTCGGAGCATCCCCGGGCCTCCGAGACTCTTTCGGGCGTCCGCTTGGGTTACACCCTTAGAGGAGCCCTCTTTTTCTCACCCGCTTTTCTCCGGATCAGCGCCCAGTCACGTCTCCGACTCTCAGCCACCTTACCTTCACTTCTCCCCAGAAACCCTCAGCCTGCTCCCCCAAGCCTAAGACACGCTCCCGCCGCTCTTCCTAGGCCTCCACCCGCTGTCCCCGGCACGCAGTCCCCAGGGCACGCGCCCGCCACTCACTGTCCTGCTGCGGGGTGTCGCTGCCGCTGGTGAGTCCCGGCGACTCCAGGAGGCTCCGGCCCGCCTCGCCCACACTTTCGTCTGCCTGCGCGGCCACCATGTCCCCGGCTTCCTCCAGGTCTAGCAGGTGACTGACGGAGAAGTTCTTTTTGGCCTGCAGGGTGTCGAGGTTGCCTGGGCTGTCCAAGCGGCCGCCCAGCGCCGGTTGCCGCTCCAGAACGTGCCCGTAGCTGGAGGTCATGGTGTCCCCCTCCAATCCCACCCACCCCCCTCTTCCCGCTCGAATCAACACCAAACGCTGTGGGCGCGAGGGGGGAGACGAGCCGAGTGGGGAAGAATGAGGGGGGAGTAGAGAGAAAGAGAGAGAGAGAGAGAGAGAGAGAGAGAGAGAGAGAGAGAGAGGTGGAACACAGGGCGGGGGGGACCCCCTTCTGCAGCACAGGGCGTTGGGCACCAGCAACTTTTGGGCGGCCTTGGTTGCTTTCCTGAAGCCAAGTCCCGCGCGGTCCAAAGAGATAATCCACACCAAAAAGTAAAATTTTAAAAAGTTACCCTGCTTTTAAATCAGGAGGGGGAAAAAGCCCTTCCAACTCTCCAAAAGCGTCCACACGCACACGCTAAAAATAATAATAAAGGGGAGAGAGGAAAGGGAGGCCAGCAGGCGGGGGAGTAAGGCAAACAGAAAGGAGAAAGAAGAGGTGGGGAGAAGAATCAAAGTGGGTTTTTGAAAAAAGGAGGTTAAAAAAAGTTATCCCGGCAAGAGTTCAAGCACCAACAGAAGAAGGCTTGTTCCAGCTTTAAAACATCTTCAAGAAAGCGCGTTCCCCCTCTCTGCACTCCTGTGGATTCTCAGGAGTGACTAAGGTTTCAGGAGGAGACGGTGATGTCTTGCAGATGTATTAGAGAGCAGGGTTCTCACTTTACTTTTCTTGAGGAGCGAAAAAGAAATAATAATAAAAAATTAAAAGTAGGGCTTCCAGAGTCCGTAGAAGGGCGGTGGTGGGTCCCCCCTTTCCCTTCTCTCTCCCCCTCTTCTCGCAGAGCTCTCTCTCTTCCTTCTCAGTCGGATCAAGAAGCTCTCTGGCACTTCAAAAGGCACAAACTGGCATGTAGAGGAGGCTTTGTAGGGAATACAAGAAAATTGGAGACCCCTGGGAGGGCAGATCTCCACTTAATAGGAGCCTGTAATTACGTGGCAAAGCCTTTGTGCCGCGCCTGACGTTTTACAGACCCCCTTTCTCCATCACAATCTCCTTCTTCCTCCTTTCCCTGGGACCAAAAAACAGTCTGATTAAGAAAACCCCCTTTGCCAACATCAGAGCAAGAGGGAAAGGGAGAGGGAGGGAGCAAGAGAGGGAGGAGGGAGAGAAGAGGGAGGGAAGCAAGAGAAGGAGAGAGCCCCTTTGGATTTTTTAAGTAAAGGTCTAATTATCATTCCCCCGCAATAGTATCACAGGGAGAAAAGAACTAAAACCCACAGTCACTTCAAACGGGCTGATTATTTTGTTTCGGCATTAACTCCTCCAGATTTGTTTAAGATCCTGTTGGAAAATCTCATTTGCATGTTTTGATAACAGCCTCGGGGAAACTCGGAGAAAACTCCATTGCCAACACTGAAGTCAAAGTTTCTTCTCCCGCTGTCCCGCCCCGCCCCCCACTTGCTTCCAGCAGTTTTGTTTTGGGGGAGAGCGCAGGGAAAGTCTGAGACCCAAGAGCAAAAGAGCAAGCCTATTAAAACTCGTTTGGCTCTGTACAAACATCCTATTAAATAATGTAATAAACTAACAAGAGCGATAGTAACCGGAGGCTCCCCACGTCCTGAAGGCAGGTTGGGGAGACCTAGAAGGCTTCGAATGGATTCAAGACTTTCTTTCGCTGCTAACAGGAATCCGAGGTCCCAGACAGTAGAAAATTTACATATTTATTAAGCTGCAGGAAAGCAAAGACTAGAGTGTTCCCCACCCCTGTCAATGTTGTAACTTCTTGGTGTGGCCCAGGTCGCTTTCCCAGGCGACCATGGCAATAACCCCAGCTGCCCAAATTCGGAGAAGACTGGAGCGCTCCTGGGCTTGGATGCTACGGGTAGGCGCAGTGCTGCTGCGTCCAGCCCAGTGCGGTCCTGGCAAGACACCAAGGTGGAGGAACCCAGGATCGAAATCTAGGGACAAAGCTCGGTGATGTCTGCTGAGACCTAACTTGAAAAGAGGACAGAGAGGTGCTGAGCAATTTTTTCAAGATCTGTTTGAATCTGGTAACAGCTTTAATTGTCTCCGTAGAAATGAGTTACTATATGAGTAAGTAAAATATTAAGTGCTTATTTGTGGCGTTTTGTGTTCTTTAAACACACACACATACAGACGTTTCCCCTCACTCCCTTGATCGCTAAAATTTTTTACCCTCCTATAGCCGAGAGGCTGGATTGAAAAGAGTAGCGGTCCCAGTGTGTATAAATGGTTTCTGGGCTCCAAACGTCCATAGTTAGCCCAGAACTTCCAGCCCTGATCTGGGAAAAGAACATTTGATGCCATCAAAGGGTTGCAGATTGAAACCAGATGTGCTCGCCTCGGTTCTTTCCATGCATTTAATTAAGGAGCCAGGACGGAGAAGACTTTTTCATCATTAGTCCACCCACTGCCCCCTCCTTCTCCCACCCCCTCGCCTCTTTCCAGCCACCCCGACCTGCGGCCCCCAGCCCCGCCAGCGCTGTGCGCGGGTTGCTTAGGCTTGGCAGTGCAGGCTCTGAACTGCCAAGATCTGACCAGGTCCGAGTCCGACAAACAGGATTGCGGGTGGGTGGACCGGCGCAGAGTGGGGGCTGTGTATCCCTGGGTGCCTTCGGAGATGCCGACTATGCGACCTCTGAGAGCTAGGCCCAGCATGGAGCAGGTTCCTACCATCCCTGGAGATGATGCAAAGACAGGTTTCCACAGCATCTCCCTCTACAGTGGACTGCCAGAGCAGCCTTTCCTCCCTTCCGTACACACGGGAATCAGTCTTCTCCACACCTTCCCAGAACTGGAGCCTCTCCCTCCTCTCTCACTCTCCAGTCCTATTTATAGAGTTGGATTTCTTCTTCTCCCAGACATCCTACCGAATTGCCATTTGTGACCCAAGTCTGAATAAATGATCAAGAGTTTCTAGCATTCCAGGAACAGTACTTTTCCCTGAAATGTTAGAGGCCAAGTGGAGAGACATCACCCTTAAGAAACTGCCTTGTCTTCAGGTGCACCCAGCAGGTTGGTGACCCAGGAATAGCGATAAGGAGGAGAGATCACTGAGGGTCCCCAGACCTGTGTTTGGCCTTGTTTTCCAGAGGGATAACATGTTATCCATGTTAACTTCAACCACTTGCAAGAGTACCAACTAGGATGTTAACAATTCCAACACAAACTTTGGATATATTTTCTAAGCATTTGTATATATAAAATGTATTTACATAATGTATAATTTCATATGCACAATATTTTCCTAAAGGTCAAATGTAAACCAACTAGGCTGGGTTTGTCCACTTGGGGCAACAGGGAAACTCAATCTAGAAGGGTGTCCTTTGAAATCTGTGGGCACAGCCTGTATGAAAGTCCTCTAAACTGGAACTTAGGGAAAAAGTCCCAGAGTTCCCAGGTATAGGAAGGTATTAACCTGCAATTTTTGTGCCTAAAGAGGGCAAGGCAGGCTGCTGGGCAACCTCCCAATGGTAGTTTGGGAACTCCCTATAGGCTGTGCTAGCTCAGGAGGCTGCTGGGACCCACTATCCTTTCTAGAATGTCTCCTAGGCCTCAGTTGCAGGTGCTAAGCCCTAGTGTCTGGCCTGGCAACTTTGAATATTGCCATGGGGAGTCAGGGTCAAGGGTTGGCTACTCTGAAAGCTCCTTCTGAAGCTCACCCTGCAGAGCTGACTTTCCACTCCTCCCCAGGCCTTTCCAGGTATTTGTAGGTTTTCCTTTTCCTTTTTTTTTTATTAGCAATTACAACTGGATTAAATGTACACTCTAATTGTGTTTGTGCACGACATCTATGATTTGTTGAGATTCTCGATTATAATCAAATCTGTACAATAACCGTACAGGGAAATCCAAGATATGATAGAGAGTACATTTACCCTGGGACTGACTAAAAGTGTGCTTGGACAGGAGAAGGTGTTTCTAGATTCTTTGGAGCCTGCACTGTTACTACTCTACTGAGCATCCAGCTGAGGGCTAGGGAGATTTATGTCACCCCTCTTCTCTAGGTCTAGGCTCTAGGCCTGACTTGTTTGCTAGAGTGATGGAGCAAGAAGAAAATTGGTGCACCAAGTCCTCTGGGCTCAGGTTGCAGCTACTAGGAGAGCCAATAACTTCCAGAATTCCAGAACAGAAAGACTATATAGCAGAGAGATGCCAGGAGTGGAGGTGAGGGGGAAGTTTGGCTACCAGCACACATTCAGCTCCCAAGCATGCTGCTGGGCTGGCCTGGGCACTTAAAAGGCCCTAGAGGAAAGTGGCCTGTTGTTGCCCCTGTCACTCCTTAATCACTGTTTTGCTTTCCCTATGTGACTTCCTTGTAGGAAGAGTTAGAACACGTGCAGGTTTTTTCCTTGGCTTTTTAGACATCTACCCTTCAATCAATGTTTATTAAAGTCTGAAGCCCTGGATGATGTAACTCACCAGATCTCCCTTCTGCATGTCCTGCCCAGAATCTGAGATTGGCTCTCCAGCCATTCTTTCTGGCCCACCCTGTTTAAAAGAATCCCTGTTTTCAGACTCCCAGTCTGTCTCCCACCTCAGTGGAAGCAAAACTGGGACTTTAAGGAGAGTTGCCAAGAGACCAGCGAAGGTAGTAAGGAGTTTTGGTTGATAGCCATGTACCCTTGGGTGGTCCTGTTCATAGGTTTGGTATTGATTACTGTCCAGGGTTTCTCTGGCACTCGAAGCTGGCAGAAAGTTGCATCATCTGGCTAGCAGAATGTCCCCCACCCTAAGCAGCTTCCCCTCTGAGCTAGAAGCCAGGAGTTGTGCTCTTTGACATCTTAATAAGCTGACACAATAATCACACATGACAAGTCACATGTTCCATGACACATAAAGGGGAAATATTGTCCTCATGTAAACAACATGCTGAGGGTGGAAATGCTTTCCTGCTCATGACTGACAATCTAGTACATATTCATTAACAGTGAAAAGGGGAGAAAGAATAAAATGCTAAGTGGATTCTGCAGGGTACCCATGTGGAATATTTTTGAGAAGCTTTTATGCTGGACTTCCTCCCAATTTTTGTTCTTGTAATCACAAGTGGATTCTTAGGAAAATTACTCCTATCCATGGGTTAATATTTTCTACCTACCCCCAACTCTATCCAATAGACTCTATTGAAATATTTTGAAACTTTGCAGTGATCAAAGGGAATAAGACTAAAAACACATTTCATAGCAGTGAGTTTATAACGGGTCAATTTTATTACAATATGTGAGGCTAAGTATATTTAGGGATCCAGTATAGTTTTACTAGAGCCATTTGCTGTTCAAACCACCATCTGATTACATATACAGTGGAAATAGCTTTAGCTGGAGACACCTGCATGTTGGCAACACAACTGAAGACTGCTCCGGTGTGACTTTGTTAAATGCCTCTGCTTCCTGATCATCTATCTATGGCTCTGACTGTTTCCTTTTGGTTATCATAGAATATTTCTCTCCCTCTTCAATACTAGGCTCTGTCCATCATTCTTACTGTCATTCATAATAAATAGATTGTTCCTAGATTTCATACATACTCATGGATTAACTGCCACTTATTTGTACAGACTGGCCTCGAACTTGCGATCCTCCTACCTCGGCCTCTTTGACATATCTTACTGATATCCACCACCTCAACCTGAACTTGTTTGTCAATGAGACTAAAATCTATATTTTTAATTTTGTTTATTTGTTTTATGAGATAGGATTTCATGATGTAGCCAAGGCTGGCCTCCAGCTGATCATGCTTTCACCTCAGCCAACTGAGTGCGTGGATTACAGATGTGTGCCACCAGTCTCAGCTCTTCCTTTTACAAGGGATAAAATTCAGGCAAGAACAAGCTAGGCAACTCTGTATTAACTGTACCACTGAATCACATTCTCAGCCCCCAAAATTTAAATCTTACCCTCTCCCCTGGGGCAAACTATAGAAGTCACCTTTCTCAGTTTACTCATCTTTGAAATAAGGCTAACCATGGTACCTACCACATATCTCTATGAAAGTTAGATGACCATGCAATCCATTTAACACAGCACTTAGCATATAGTAAACCTTGGAAATAAAAAGGCATCCATCTCCTTGCTGATTATGCACATTTACCGAGGAAACTGAA